TAAGATGCTTAGCCACAGGAATCATAGGAGCCATAGATTAAAGATAAGCTGGTTTTCTGTGAAAGACAGTTTTTGCTAGTTGAGTGTTGAGGGAGATTCCTCCTGTGGCCCCTTCGAAGGGGACAGCTAGCCTGGTGGGTGGGATAGAGTGGAGTGGGATTTCTTCAGCCACAGCCCTGTAGTGGTCACACAGCAATCTCCTGTTTTCTTTGTGGGGCAGATAAATTTTATAGTCATTCTTTCAGATGGACTTTATACACCGACCATAAAGCTACTACTGAAAAGTGCCTCTTCTCTTTTGTACTCTTTCAATTCCTTGTGCCCCTGACATCCCAGCACCACAGAGAGCATCTTGTTGCATCTTCCCTCAAAGTTCCCACCTAGGGGTTTGAAATCTCCCTTCCAATCTATAGCTATAAATCTAGTTTTGTTTTTTACTAATAGTACACTAGTAACTAAATGACAAATAAAAATTTTCCTCTATTACCACTATTTCACTTTGGGGAAACATGATCCATTTGTCTTATGCTTTTTCTTTGATCTGGATTTCTGTGGTGGAAGTGATCACATCCTGTAGAAGGAATGGGAGCTGTCTTTTGTCAAAGGAAAGGAAATAGCCACTGATTCATAAGTTGCGGTGAATCAGATAGTGTTTCTATGGCAGGTAGTGTAACTAGCTCTGGAAAACTTAAGATTTCCAGGTAACTAAACCTGATTGGGTTTTGTTTGGATGGCTTTTATACTTAAAAAGGGGAAAATGCACTTTGGCAGAGGACTGGATTCTGGGGGGCATACTCTATGGTTTCAACTTTTAACTTCACACATTCATGTGTGCTTTGGAGAAATATTCATGTATTTCTGGGCTACAATGTGCTGGGCCGTGGACAATTTCTCTTGTCTGGTGCAGCTTACATTCTAGAAGGGGAGAGCTGGCAATAAACACAGAGAAGGTAATTTCAGGCAGTGGTGGGTACTGTGACAAAATAAAATGGGTGGTATGGGATGGCTCCTTTAGCTTGGGGTTAGGGATGGCCTCACCTAGGGGCAGACATATGAACTGGGACTTGAAGGGGCCAAGTTTGAGATGTCTGGAAGAAGGGGTCTAGGCTCAGGGAGGAATTAGCAGGCTCAACAACAAGGACCTGGCAAGAAAGGCAGGCAGGCACCCTGGGGCAGTTGGGAGTACAGGGAAGGCGGTGGAGATGTGTTTGCTGACTGAGGCCAGATCTCCACACTAAGTTCGGATTTGCATCAGAATACAAAGGAAGACACCAGAGGATGTAAGGTAGCTGCATCAGACTTTGTGCAGTGTGGGAGATTTGTGGGGGATAGTTGTGGCCCCAGGATAGTGGTGTGTGAGGAGTGACAGCATTCTGAGCTGGGGGCAGGGGCAGGAGCAAAGCCACGCAGGGCTGTATGACATCTGTACCAGGTGGATCTGTGAGGACCAGGCTGTTCTTCAGTGGCTGGGCTGGGGATCCCCAGGGAGAGACTGAGCTGAGCAGAGGAATGGTATTGGGTTTCCCGAAATGTTCATAAAGCCTTTTGTTTTTTTCTGGGCTGCCTTGGTGGCTACATACTGGCTGTGGGATGGGAAGTGAAGCCCCAGTGAGCCATGGAGGTGGGGCCGTAAGGTGCAGCCAGCAGGAGGCAGCGGCTGCAGCTCCTGGGTGTGCTGCTGGGAAGAGCAGAGAAGGGGTGCTGGCAGCTGTAGATACATGCAGCAGCTTCACCATGGCAATTCGCAAGAAGAGCTCCAAGAGTCCCTGGGTCCTGAGCCACGAATTCATCCTGAAGAATTACATGGATGTTGTCACCTGTGTGACAACAGCTTTCCTCTTGGTACTCGTGTTCCACTAACAGCATGAGCTTCTATCATTTTTGTTACTGACTCTTCAATATGTTGTTACCCTCTCTGCAACAAAAGAACAAACTAATGAATCATTGTCCCCTTATTACTATGGTATCAAAGACTTGGCTACAGTTTTCTTCTATATGCTAGTGGAGATAATTATTCATGCCATAATTCAGGCGTATGTGCTGGATAAAATTAACAGGCAAATGCACTTCTCCAAAACAAAACACAGCAAGTTTAATGAATCTGGTCAGTGTAGTGTGTTCTACCTTTTTTCTCGTATTTGGGGTACCTTAATTCTAATATCTGAAATGTACATCTCAGACCCAGCTATTTTGTGGAGGGCTTATCCCCATAACCTGATGACATTTCAAATGAAGTTTTTCTACATATGACAGCTTACTGGTTCATGCTTTTCCTGAACCTTACTTCCAGAAAACCAAAAAAGATATTCCTTGTCCACTTGTCTACAGTGGTCTTCACCTCTTTCACATTGCCAGAGCTTATTTTTTGAGCTTGAATCATCTAGGGCTTGTTCTTTGGTGCTGCATTATTTTGCTGAAATTTTTTTCCACATTTCCTGCCTGTTTTATTTTAGTGATGAGAAGTATCAGAAAGGGTTTTCTCTGTGGGCAATACTGCTTGTTTTCGGAACACTTCTGACTCTAATTCTCAGTACTCACAGTTGGCTTTGGCCTTGTCAGAGCAGAGAATCAGACGCTGGATTTCAGTACTGGAAACTTCAATGTGTTGGCTGTTAGAATTGCTATTTTGACATGTGTTCACATTACCTAAGCTTTCATGATGTGGAAGTTCATTAATTTCAGCTCTGTAGGCGGAGAGAACATTCTACATTTCAGGCACCAACTGTGAAGAAGAAACCAACAGTGACTAAAGGGAGGTCTTCTTGGAAAGGAACAGAAAACGGTGTAAAGGGAACAGTAACACCTGCAGCAGACTCTCTGGTAATACAAAAGAGAAATTTTTATAATGAAGTATAATATAACTGATTAATGTCCCCAAAGGAATCTGCTTTCTACTCTTGTCTTTTAGCACTAGAGATTTTTTCTGTTCTGAAAAAGCAGTTTGTGCTCTTTGAGTCTAAAAAACAAAATTCATAAAGCGTTTAGAAATGTATATAAAACAAAAGCACAAAATAAATTGACGAAGAAAGACATGAGGGCATGGGTGAGGGATCTATAGGAAGGAAAGTCAAATAACACCAGGAGCAACTGTAGTAAGCCTGTGAGAATGTATGCCACACAGCCTGGATTAGAAAAGGCAGACCCTGATTTAGTTTTTGGTCTTAAAAAAACAAAGATGCTTAGCCACAGGAATCATAGGGGCCATAGCTTAAGGATAATCTGGTTTTCAGTGAAAGACAGTTTTTCCTAGTTGAGTGTTGACGTTCATGCTGTGGCCCCTTAGAAGGGGACAGCCAGCCTGGTGGGTAGGGTGGAGTGGGGTGGGATTTCTTCAACCATAGCCCTGTAGTGGCCACACAGCAATCTCCTGTTTTCTTTGTGGGCCAGATAAATTTAGTCATTGTTTCAGATGGACTTTATACACTGGCCATAAAGTTACTCCTGAAAAGTGCCTCTTCTCTTTCGTACTCTTTCAATTCCTAGTGACCCCTGACATCCAGCACCACACAGAACACCTTCTTCCATCTTTCCTCAGTTCCTACCCAGGGGGAGTTTGAAATCTCACTTCCAATCTAAATCTATACAGTTTTGTTTTTACTAATAGTACACTAGTAACTAAATGACAAAAAAAATTTTTTTAATGACAGAAAAAAATTCCCCCCTATTACCACTATTTGTGTTGCTTTGGGGAAACACAATCTATTTGCCTTCTGCCTTTTTTTTTTCTTTTATCTGAATCTCTGTGGTGGAAGTGATCACATCCTAAAGAAGGAATGGGAGCTGTCTTTTGTTAAAGGAAAGGAAATAGCCACTGATTCATAAGTTGCGGTGAATCAGATAGTGTTTCTATGGCAGGTAGTGTAACTAGCTCTGGAAAATTTAAAATTTCCAGGTAATTGAGCCTGATTGTGTGGGTTTGTTTGGATAGCTTTTGTACTTAAAAAGGGCAAAATTCACTTTGGCAGAGGAATGGCATCTGAGGGGCTCACTATATGGTTTCAACTTGTCTAACTTCACACATTCATGTATGCATTTGAGAAATATTCATTCAATGGCGATGAAGTGCCAGGCCCTATAGATAATAAGAGAATGTCCCTTATCAGGTGGAGCTTTTATTCTCGTGGGGGATAGCTGGCGATAAACACAGACAAGGTAATTTCAGACAGTGGTGGGTGCTATGAAGAAATAAAATGGGTGGCGTGGGATGGCTCCTTTAGCTCGGGGTCAGGGACGGTCTCTCTGAGGAGCACATTTAATGAGCTGAGACCTGAAGGAGCCAACTTTGAGAAGTTCTGTAAGAAGGGGTTTAGGCCAAGAGAAAGACGAGCAGTTCGAAGCGCAACGACCTGTTAAGAAAGGCAGGTAATTTCCCTGGGGTAAATGAAGTACTGTAGGGTAGGTGGTGGAGATGGGCTCAGGAACCCGAGTCCACATCCCAGGGTTCTGCTGGCCACGCCAAGTTCGGATTTTTATCGGAAGACAGTGGGAGAAGCCAGAGGACTTAAAGTAGCTGCATTGGACTTTCTGCAGTGCGGTGATATGCGGGGACATGGGCGATCTTACAGATTGTGCGGGGACAGCACCCGAGAGGGGGGGACAGCGGTGGAAGCAAAGTCACGAAGGTTTGAGATGTCCGGAGCAGGCGGACCCATGGGCCCCACGCTGATGTGCAGTGGCGGCGCTGGGGACCGGCCGGGAGCGACTGAGCCGAGGGAAATGCTACCGGGTTGACGGGAATGTTTTAAAATCCGTAGTGAGGACGGTGGAGAGCTCTATCTTACCTAAAATTCTGAAATGTTAGCTCCAGGCGGGGTGAACTCTGTGGCAAGTGAGCGAAATAAAATTCTTCCTAAGAAGCTCTACCCAGCAGCCCTGGCGGCACCCCCGGCGCGAGGCCATTCGGGTTGCGCCTATGGCCCCGCGCCCCGCTCCGTCATTCGCGCGCCCATTGGTCAGCAACCGGGCGCGCGCGGAGGCGGAACCGGAACTGGCGGACGATGCGGCGGGGGCGGGGCCTGGAGGCCGTTCTTGCAACGGCTGGAGTGTCGGAGGTGGGAGGGCCCGGGTGGCTGCCGCAGCCCAGAGCCCAATGTTGCCGGGAGGCGCTCAGGCTGCAGCAGGAGCCCGAGGCCCGGGCCATCCCGGCTGAACGTTCGCGGGGCCGCCCGGACCGCCATGGGGTCCCTGTTCCGGAGCGAGACCATGTGCCTGGCGCAGCTCTTCCTGCAGGCCGGCACGGCCTACGAGTGCCTCAGCGCGCTGGGCGAGAAGGGTTTGGTCCAGTTCCGAGACGTGAGTGTCGCCCGGGAGAAGCCGCCCCTGTGGGCAAGGGCCCGCGGCCCGCCTTCCGCTGGGCCTGCTGTTGGGCTCCGGGCAGGGCGCGCCGCCCACCTCCCGGGGGAGGCCAGGGTCCACCGCGGCTGCCGTCCTCAGCTCTCGGGAGACCCGGGCCTGGACCAGGCGCCGGCCCTGGGGTCCAGTCTGACCAGGCCTCTCGGAGTGCTTCTGGAACTTAGAGGGTGGCGGGAATACTCAGCAAAGGTAGACCAGTGTTTGCTGTGAAGGAAATGGGAGGGGATGGTGTGATGGTGACGGGTGGGAGTGGTCCAGGGAGGCCCCCAGGAGGTGAGTGGAGAGGCGGACGGGAAGGAAGGACGGGAACAGGAAGAGCCCAGAGCCTGAAGTGGGACTGAGCTTGGTGTGTCTGACTTGAGGGAAGGGATTTGTGTTGGTTTTGTTCACTGATGCGTGGTGTTGTCCATACCTCTGCCCGGTAAGGGATGGGAGCTGTTTCCCCAGGAAGTAATGGCCAACACCTGTTTATGTGTGTGTTTATTGTTTATGAGTTGTTTACACCATCAGCTGTCAGTCCCCAAGGGTTAGGGCCTTGCCTGACTTATTCACTCCTGGTTCCTCAAGACTTAGCACAGCGCTTGCCCCTTGTGGGCAATAACAGGCCTCTGTGGAAGGAGTGGACAAGCTTTTCTTGAGTGCTTGCTGCATCCCAGACACTGTTTTAAGTGCTGGAGACTCAGTGCTGAGCAGGGCACACAAAGTCTCTGTGTTGTTGCCCACAGTCTAGGAGGACACAGAGAAACACACAGGAATGAAGGCAAAGAGCAGGGTGTGGGAGGGAGATAATTCAGCAGGACTTAATATTTACCAACTAAACTGAAAGTCACTTGAGGTAGGCATTTCATTTCCCGGGCTGCAAATTTCATCTCCCGGTTGTTTCCCTTCATCTTTCTAAAGAGCCCCTAGGTTCTAAAGGGAACAGCCGTCCCCAAGATCTGGTATCAGTGATTCCTGCCTTGGTCCCATAAGGCAATTGCAAGGTCCGGGAGAAATTGCTAAGTGACAGGTAAGGGTGTGGGGAAGACCCAGTGTTCTTGGTGGTTCTTGGGACCTCTTGGCCTTCAGTACATGGTACTCACTGAGCTGGCCGGTTCTGTGCTGAGCTGAGACTAGCAACCAAAAAATTGAGGAAACAGTTTGGTGAGAAACAGCCTCCCTTCTTTATGACAGGTGGACTGTTCTGTCCTGTTTCTACTCAAGCTAAGACACTTACCAGGCTTAAAACTTAGAGGTTTGAACCCAACGCCCAATCTCCACAGAGATTGGAGTTCCACTGAGTGCTGTTACATGAGGTAGTAGAGTGGACGAGGGTCCTTTTTTACTGAAAATCAGGGAAACCCAAAGAAAAGTGCAGCAAGAAAATACAACAAAAATGCTACAATAAGCTTTCTGGGCTCGAAAGAGTATGTGTGTGCGTGAGTGAGTGAGTGAGTGTGTTTGTGTGCGCGCGCTGACTGCCAAGCAGCAGGCGTGCCTGTGCATAAGGCTACATCCCATCTGACTCTCTCTCCTCTCTTCTGGGCTTTCTTCCTGACTTTGGGTGCACTGGATGGGATCGCTGAAGCCTGTGTTTCTGGCCTGCATAGGCTGGGTGATTTTTTCCCTTTTCTTTCTAAGGTGGAGGAAGCAGGCCAGGGGTTTCTGTAGTGACAGTCAGTGACAAGACCTGTAAAAGAAAGGTTATCACCAAACCCGTAGGACTCAGGAAGGAACAGTTCCTCTCACTTTTGTAGCGGTCTGCCGCCCAAGAACAGCATTCACCTTTGGTCCTTGAGCTGCTGGAGTGGGCAGATCACTGGTGTGGGTATCAGTAGGGTCTGCCAGGTTTTCTAGATTAAGTGTTAGTCTTAAAAGGAATCTACACTGAAATGTACATTATGTCCCCCTTAATCGCAGGACATAATGTTCTGAGACTCCCAGTGGATGCCTGAAACTGTAGATAGTACCCAACCCTATATATGCTATGCTTTTTCCTGTACACACTTACCTATAATATAAAGGTTAATTTATAAATTAGGCAGAGTAAGAGATTCACAACAATAATAGCATTTGTAGCAATAGACTGTGGTAAAGGTTATGTGAATGTGTTCTCTCTGTCTCAAAATATCTTACTGTACTGCCCCCACCTTTCTTCTCATGGTGTTGTGAGATAGCAGAATGCCTACATGGTGGGATGAAGTGAGGTGAGCGATGCCTGTGCTATGTTGCAGTGTTATGCCACCGTTGACCTGATAGCATATCAGAAGAAGGATCCTCTGCTTTCTGACTGTGGTCACCTGCAGATAAGGGGAAAGTGGGAAGGAAATCACCAATGAAGGGGGGCTGCTGTATTTCATTTCATTAGCCTGGAATTAGGGTGACAGTTGCCTTCCTAACAAGGAAACAGAAACATGTAAGGTGGTGACGGTGGTGTATGTCAAACCACCCACATTTGTCTCATTGCCACAAATTTGCTATTTGTAGAACCATGTGTTAGAGGTGACCAGTCTTTGATACTGAAGAGCAGAGATGGAGACAGAGTAGCAGTGTCATTTGTAGACACCTTTTGATGCGTAGCTTCCTCTTGGCCTTGAGTCGTCTGAGAGAGAGAGTATATCTGAATAACTGAGAGTTTGAAAGTGGTTGCTTTAGATGAGTATGACTTCCAGAAATTAATACAAATGTGACAAATGGAAGTGAAATTCAAATTCTTTCTGTTACTTCTCTTAAAAAAAGATTAAAAAGTAAATAAGAACTGCTCCTTTGCAGTGGACGCTTCTCAGGTTGTTTGATCAGTTTCAAGCCAAGCTGTTGTCTACTTGTGTGTTTTTAGAGTGTCCAGCACAAATGCTGGATGGAGCAAAGGTAGACTTCTTGCCCTAAATTCGTTTTACCATGAATGATCACTGTCATTGTTTTTTTATGGTGAGAGTAGTACAGGTCCAGAGCGGGAAGTTTGGAAGACATAAGAGTGAAATAATAACTTGCATGATCCCGATCCCTAGAAATAACCACTTTGCCTTTTTAGTTAATATTGGTCACTCAAACCTTATTTTCTCACAATATTTTTAAATGTACAAACTTAGGTCTTTTTATGTAATTGCAACCACAACCCCACTGAAAATATCTTTCCTCTTTTTCAGCTTTTATGTCTGCCCCTCTCCTCCTGGCGTCCTGTTGTGAGCCTGCTCTGTGCCTGCCAGTGTGTCAGGAGTGTGCTCCTGCTCTGGAGGGGTAGTAGTTGATGGCTTGGGGAGGGACTCTCATTTCTCTAGTCGCTTTTCTATTGTGAATCATTTTCTCTGTGCTTAGGTAAATTGTTGTTCATATTCATAGTTTTTTGCTTAGGTTAACTTTCTTTCTGGGGAAAGGCAATGTTTCAGGCTTGTTTGGTTACACTTGACACATTGATTTCCAGAAAAGATGGGTCACTTTATATTCCCTTCAGTAGTGTACAAGGATACGCTTTTCCCTAAACCCTTGGCTGTGATACCTTACTTTTCAAATAAAATCTTCTTTGAAATTTTAGGAAAGTCAAAGCAAATCTATCATCCTTTTTTCAGCTCAACCAGAACGTAAGTTCTTTCCAAAGAAAATTTGTTGGTGAGGTGAAGAGGTGTGAAGAACTAGAGCGTATATTGGGTAAGTTTATTGTAAAAACAAATTATTTTTGTCTAAGCAAACCTTGTTCACTTTAGAAAAATCAGAAAATATGTAGAGACAAGCAGAGAGGAAAGAAGTCCTAGTCTTACCACTCAGGGGTCATCATGTTACTAGGTTTTAGTATTTTTCATACTTCCTACTATTCATCTATAAAATATGAGTAAGGATATACATGTGTTATGATCTGGGTGTTTTGTTACCAGCTTTGTGGGTCACTTAATTGTATGACTGGAACATCTTTTCATGTCTATAAAGAGACTGAGCCTTCATCATGTTTAATGGCTGCATAGTACTTCATTGTATTAAGTGCCATAATTTAACCGATGCTCTGTCGCTCATTATAACTTAAAAACATTGTATACATGTTAGTATATTACTTACAATTATATCAAAGGATGAAGGAGGTAGGAATTGGCTGATAGATTGGTTGGGCATTCCCTTTTTCCCAGAGCTTCATTTCGTGTTAGATCAGTGTTCTCTGACTGTTAACTGTTAAAGCTCAGTAGCCCAAGGCTTCTTCGTTTATCTGTAAAATCTGTCACATCTTATCCTGAAATAGTTGTTACCTCTGTAAGCCTTGAAGTTCAGACCAGAATAGGAGAGGAACATGATCTCAGACAAATGAGTAAAGTATAAAATTTGTTTTTGGAAGGATGAACAGAAAATGAATGGGAGGAGAGCACTGGGGAGGGGGCCCAAATGACTTGGATGATTTTCAACAGCTAACAATTACTGTGCATTATATGTTTTAATTGGTGGTTTTTAAGATTGGAAAAAATGTTCTAACCATCTGAAATGTATCCTTTTCATATTGCTTGAGGTCCTAGTCATTCGTGTTGATCATGCATGACAGAGTTATATCATACTTCTGTCTTGATGATGTATGTGAGTCACTGGATGGGTCGTATATGTGGAATGAGTAAGTTTTTAAAGACAGGGCAAGAGTGACAACACATTAGATATGTCCAGGATTTCCTGTAGCTCACAATGTTTCAAAAAAGGAGAGACTTTAGAAAGGAACCCTCAAGTAAATTTAGTCATAAATAAGTTAAAACATTTTGTACCCTTTTCCAGAAATCTCTTAAAACTCAGTGCTTCCTTTGCTATCTCCTTGGTAAGACATCGTCGCTTTTCTTTTTCTTTAATGTAATATGTAATAGCACTTCTCTAAAATATTATATTTAGCAGTGACTACCAGGTATCCTAAGGAAAACAACACCTCATGGAATTGAAAATACAAACTGAAGAAGTTCAGTTAATTTTGGCTGGTTCAATATAAGGGTTCATGAATCTAGTTTTTAACATAAGAAGCAAAGTAGTGCCAGTTGTAATTCAAAACACCATGGCTATCTGGGGACTCTCAGGAGAGTTTGACTGTCTGCCCTGTGTCTCTCTGGGCTCCTTCTGCTGACAGAGGTTGTGGTTGTCTTAATGAATACTTACTTCCTCCTAAGCACCTGCTGGGAAGTCACACTGTTGTCCCTGCTGGGGACAATCATAGGTCTATTATTGGACTATTCCTGCACTTCTAGTGTGTCCTTAACCTTCTGCTTCATCTACAGGTACAGAGAGAGCTGTGACTACAGTTTTTTAATTAGAGTTTTAGAAATACCTTTGGAAACAAGGTTGTAAAAGGTGACCTGTAAGTCATTAGGAACAAACAAGATTTTTGTGCGTTTAGACATCAATTTTTAGAAGACCTAGGAAATGTTGGGATATAAGATGTTCTCAATTAAATGTCTTACAGTAAATTTTAGAGCCTAATTTGTTTAACTTTTATTTCCACAGCATATTTGGTGCAGGAAATTAATAGAGCTGATATTCCCCTTCCCGAGGGAGAGGCCAGTCCTCCTGCTCCTCCTCTTAAACAAGTTCTAGAAATGCAGGTAACTTATTTCTGAAGAAGCTGTTTTAGGTCACTAATCTCAGATACTGCTTAGTTAGTTATCTATTTACTTATATATTAGTGCTTTTCTCCCTTTCTTAAAATTGTGGAATCAAATTAAAGAACCATGTTATGATTAACTCTCAGTAATGGATTATCTGTGCAAAATGAATTACACTTACATTTTTTCTTCTAAAGTGTTAAGATCTGTGCTTCCTTCCAACGTGGTGTTGAGCATAGGCTAACAAGAATTAAGTCTTGAAATCCAATTCTTAGTCATAATGTTTTCAGAAGTTCATTCTGGGCTTATATGTGCGTCAGTGTGTTTCTCCTAGTGCAAGTAATCGGGCTTCAGTCCTCTGCCCTTCATGTCCTTCCTAAATTTACTGACCCCTCCCCCTCTCATTTTCAGAAGCTATGTAGGTGATGGGTTGTTCCAAGTGGATGGCAAACCGAATTTCTTCTCCCTGAGTTCAGGGTCTCCGGGGCTGGGGATACAATGTGAGCATGCTGTGCGCTCCCTGTGGACTATGAGTTGGGGTCTCAATGTACTCATCTGATAGTGCAGCACACTGAGAAACAGACTGGAGCCCCTGACAGCCCTTCTGAAATGATGAGTACTGTGTCTCCAGGACCATTCCATTGCTGGCTGCTCTGTTTGTTCATCTGGGAGGAAGTCATTTAACGTTTGATATGTGAGTGGACTCGAGAGGGAATTATAGTCAGATGAATAGAAAGCAGTCATCCATCCAGTTTGGCCTGTTGGATGGGTTGGTTATGATATTACCACAAATACAGTGATTACTGGGTGTGATTATAACAAATAGAGTGATTGTAGTTGTTTTTTTTTTGACAAACCTGAATCAAGAACCCAAATCTAGTGATTATATTTTTTATGAGGCAGAGCACAAGTAATGAATGTATGTCAAGAGATACATTTGAATACAGGTTTTCATTGAGTCATTTATTTGTTTAAAGATTTCTGCTTCTATTTTAATACTAAAGTATTGTTAAGGATGTTTGCTATATAATTAATTATTAAAGAAGATTTGTTCTCAAGAATTTTTATGCCCAGTTAATTGTGTAAGTGCAACTACAATAAGAACTCTTAAGCTAGAGACTAGGAATATGTATGTTTTAAAAAGATTAATTAAAATTTGTTTCTGTGTTGCAAATGAAAGGAAATGTAGATTTGAAAGAGGAAGACTCTGATGTCTGATAATGGATAGGCAGACAAAAGAAAACCTGAAGACAAGATAGTACCTGGGACTTGGGGTTCTTAGGGTCCCCACGCTTCCAGACTGCTTTATTCGTACATGGCATGAGCTTTGTAGCTGTCACCTGAATTAATATGGAACAGTAAATGATGGACATTTAAAGTCTTTTCTTGTTTTCATTTTCCTATCAAACTCTCCTCAGTTCTGCCTTTTTAACCCCCCTGGTTTTGGTGCTGAGAAGAGATTGTTAAAACGACACCCGACCTAACCCACCCTCTCAAGGAGCTGCCATCTTGTCTTAGGAGCAGCTGCAGAAGCTCGAAGTTGAACTGAGAGAAGTCACCAAGAACAAGGAGAAACTGAGGAAGAACTTGCTTGAGCTGATTGAGTACACGCACATGCTGAGGGTGACGAAGGCCTTTGTGAGGCGGAGCGTGGAGGTGTGTCTGCCCTGTGCGGAGATGCCACCTGGCCCTCCCTGTGGAGGCGTTGATTTTAGAAAGGGAAATACTGTGATCTCAGCTTTGTTTTTCACTTGATTATATGGCATTAAAAAAGCTGGAATCCTTTTCCTGTGTTCGTTGATTTTAGCAATACCAATACTTTCTATTAGTGAAATGCTTTAGTTTGCAGTTGAAAAAGAAATCTTATGATCATGAGGAAAATTGAACAGTGGAGGTTGAACTCTAAAATTTAGCTTCTTTTTTCTTCCCCAAATTGCCAGGAGTAAAAGAAGTGAAAAAATAATCTCTTAAAGAATGGTCAATATGGTTGTACCATACTTGGCTGATTAGAGAGGGAAGTACTTGCCTTCTGAACTCAGTGTCACTGCATATAGTGGTGACCTCGGACAAAATTACTCTGTCTGGGATTAAGGGATGACATAAATATTAACTGTATTTTCATGTAAGTGTCTTCCACGTAAGCGATGGGAATGATCTTTTTTATTCGTCAGTGCTGAGTTACATGTGTGAGTTGTCTCGGGGCATTGGCCCCCAGATCTGAGCAGTTAGTAATGATGCCCTGTCAACTTGTTTGGAGACATGACTTGAGAAAGTGCCACTTGTAATGAGACACACTTGGTTTCATATCTCTTTATAGTTTGAACCTACTTATGAAGAATTCCTTCCCTTAGAGAATGATGCATTATTGGACTACAGCTGTATGCAGAGGCTGGGAGCAAAACTGGGGTAGGTGGCAAGCAGGCGGGGTGTCAGGCTTCATACTGTCCTTGTGGTAGATGAGCTCTGTGGTGAGGATGTTGGGTGTCATGTGGAAGTCTGATGGAAAGGAAGAGAGTGAATGTTTAAGAAAACACTGTACTCCTGTGTTTGTTGAGTTGAATTACTCAGCTGTGTTGACTTTTTAGTTAATATGGTGGGAATTTGGTATAATGAGCTGGGAAGAAGGAACATTTATGCCTTTCAGAGTTACCCAGTAAGCCTGGGATAACTGGTCACTGAAGCATCAAATCATGTTTTGTTCCATGGAAACAGAGGGCCTAATTGGAGTCGGCTTGTTGGGGGGGACCTCTTTCTGTGTACATTCTTTCTGTTTACTTGAATCAGTGGTCACTTGTTTCTTTGTGGTTTGTGATTTCATTTTATTACAACTTCTGGTCCTCTGTTCCTTTGTAGGAATTCAGTGATGTTTAGTTTGAGGATGTATTCCTTCAGAGAGAATTTATTTTTACACTTGTCAGGTACTTGGGGGCAGTCTACCAATATGGAATCATTAATTTCTCAACTTGAGTTTTTTTATTTTTCTGTTTGTTTTTTCACTATGCAAGTAATATGAATTTAAGCCACAAACCTGAGTGACTTCTAACCTTTGGTTATAAACTTAAGGAAGACACTTCCCCTCTACCCAGAACCAAAACTGAAGTAATCACTTGGCTTGCAGGCTCCTTTGCAAGGTGGATTTTTCCTAGCCCACCCCTTTGAAGGTGATGGGATTCCCAACTTTAGGAGGAATTAGGGGGATTCATTTCCACCTCCTAACCTGATATAGACCCAGAGCCTATCTCCTGTCTCCTGTGCTGACATTGAAGCTTAAGGCTTTTAGATACTGGGTCAGTAAAATTACATCAGGGTAGCCATGAGGTCCTGTTTTATTTTTGGATTCCAAGAATTTTTCTTAATTATGGGCTCAGCTATACATTTAAAAGGATGTTTCAAAAATATTTTATCCAATGCTATAGATGTTTTGCAGTTGGAGGGCTTTCAGGCTATCTTTACCATTTTGCTGGAAATGAAAATCTTCATCCTTTTAGTGCAAAGTGATGCTACCTCATTACTTTTGATTGACTGCAGTTTGTCTTTATTGTCTCGTAGATTTGTGTCTGGCCTAATTAACCAAGGAAAAGTCGAAGCATTTGAAAAAATGTTGTGGAGGGTCTGCAAAGGGTACACCATTGTGACCTATGCAGAACTCGGTGAGCCCCTGGAAGACCCTGAAACAGTTGAGTACATGTCACCCTCACCTTTTAGCCATGACAGAGCAGAGTTGGAGGTACAGTGCAGAGCAAACCATTTGAGAGTGATGTTCACCTGATGCCTTAACATCCTCCAGTATGTTAGGGTGTGGTTCTTACAATCAGGGACTTCCTTCTGCACCAGCGCAATGCAACCAGGAAGTTAATGTGGTGCACCGCGGCCCTGAGCCTCAGATCCCACTCTGGTTTCAGTCGTGGTCCCAATACTGCCTTTTATAGCAAAGGACCTAGTTTAGAATCACACTTTGGATTAAGTGTAACATCTTAATGGTCTCCTTTATTCTGGAACCGTTTCTCAGTCCTTGGCTTTCATGACCTTTGCCTTTCAAGATTAGGACAGCCCAGTTTCTTGGTCACCCTTGACATTTCTCTCTTCCTCACACCTCGTGTCCACTCCTGAAGCAGGATTGTTAGTCCATCTTTTAAGCAGAAGGTGAATCTGGCCTTTCTTCTCACCTCCACCCCCACCACCCACTCTGGAAGATGAGCATCCACAACGGCCGTGCTTGCATTTGCAGGACTGCCACCCAAGCCCTTGGCCTACCTCTACCTACTCTGCTCTCCCCTCCTTGTCAGACTTCAGCAGGTTGTCACTCCTTCACCAAAACTTCCAGTGGCTTCTGTCTCACTCAGCCCAAAGCCTTACAGTGTCACCTTGTCGTTTTCTTTGGCCTCCTGTGTCACTACTTGCCCTGTCTGTGTCTCTTCAGCTGCGCTGGCCTTGCCTGCTGTGAACTTGCTTCTGTGGCTCAGAAGGCCCCTTTTCCCTGCCCCTGGTGGCCATCTGTCTCTCCACTCCTTCACTGCTTTAGGCGGAAGTGGCCCCTTCGCAGAGAGGCCCTCCCTGATCACCCCATTTAAAATCCCAGCTCCCAGCCTCTTCCTCCCTATCACCTCTTCCAGATTTATTTTCTTTATACCACTTCTCTCCTCACAGCGTACTAGGTATTTCCTTTGTGTCTCACAGCCAACTTGAATAGAAGCTTCCCGACCTTTAGGTCAGGGATTTTTGTTTTGTTCGTGGCTGTATTCCTAGCACCCAGAACTGTGCCTGGCAAATAGGCCAGCAACTGATTAGTTTTGTTTGTAGAATATTTGTAGATACAGTCGACTCTCAGTGTTCATGGTAGTCATGGTCTATAGTCTCCATGAACGTGACTTATGAACACTGAACCACCACACCAAGGGGAAACACAGAGTTAGGTTCCTGCAGCCTCTGGCCATGTGTCTGTCAGCCAAACAACGCATAATCTTGTTTTATCTGTGTTTCCATTAAAGACACCTTATGTAACGCATGTTGTTAAGTCATTAACACTGAACCCATGGGCAGCAGCACTGTCACTCAGGCCCGTGGCAACATATAATGCACTCCTTCCGTAAGGTGTATCTCTGTCTCCTGCTCAGGAGCCTAGCCAGCACTTCAACACTGCCCCTGAGGACCGTTTTAAATAGTGAAATCGCCAAAAAAGCACAAAGATGTAGAATAACGTGGTACTACCCAGACCACTCAAAGGACGCTTGTTTACAGCTGAAATGAGAAGGCAGAGTATTGCCTTGTTTGCTTTCAGCAGGAACATACATGTGGAGTGACCCAAATGTTTGGCTGCTCTTCATGTCTGTGAATGACTGAAAAAATGCTGCAAGTGTTGATTTTGGGGTTAGAAATACATTTTAGCCAGTAAGTGAATTTGCAGTTACAGTATCTGCATATAATGAAGATTTACTGTATTTGTTGAATGACTGAATGAATTAAGCCTGGGTCAGAGTTTGAGCTGCCAGTCTTCAGAGTTCTAGATACAGAAGTAACAATTATCCTGATTTATTCTTTGTAGGGAGAAGTCATAAAATGGTATGTGTTTTTAATATCCTTTTGGGGAGAGCAGATTGGCCACAAGGTTAAGAAGATATGTGATTGGTAAGAAAAACATTTCATTTCTTTATATTCAGTAACCTCTGGTTTTCCCTAAATATCCCTCTGGGTTTGAAAGAAATATAGCAGGTGCAAAGGCTTGCTGAGTTTTGTTATGTCTTTGCTGTAATTTCCTCCTTTAATTTTCTCTTTTTGTAAAGGTAATTATTATTGTGTGTTGTTTTTGTGTTTGAAACTTGTGTAATGGTTCTTGGCCTATAGATGGTGGTGAATTTCAGGAAGTTGAAAATGAGAGTGAGTTTCTGGGATGATCAAGGACAGGGAATGGAATTTGGAATGAAAAGGCAGTCGGCTGAGTTTGTAGAACTCAGTAGAAGTTTGTTGAGTGTTTATATGCAAGGCCTTGTCCTGGGCAGTGCCTGTGTCTGTGCCCTTTTCTCTTGGAGGGCTGCTTTTATTCTGTTTTGGAAGAATACATGCCCAGGTGGTGGGCTGAATTTGGTTCTAGTGTCTGATAGGGCCATTTCCCATCCTGATGGGTGTGAGACTGCATTGAATTCTGTCTTCTAGTTACCACTGCCATATTTACCCCTACCCAAATACTGCTGAGGAGCGAGCTGAGATTCAGGAGGGGCTGAATACCCGGATTCAAGATCTTTATACTGTGAGTAAACTGGAAACTGTTGTCTCCTTATTTAAGACATGTAGAACATTTACAAATCCATTTATTTTCTCTTTTAAGATTTTAGTTGTGGACAAATCAAGATGGTGTAGGGAGATGGAAATGTCACTTACCCCTCTTTTGATGGAATTTTAATTTTAGCTGCCTTTTGGAAACCTAGGTTGTGAAGATGGGACTTAGGAAAGACCCTCTGATTGTTTTGATATGTCAGATTGTGAGCCTTCCTCACAGGAGACAATAAGCCACATCTGGAGTGGTGGCTTGTATTTTACCTGCACTATGTAATTCATGTTTGTACTTAAATCAGTGAGCACTCTTGGTGGCAAGAACTGAACTGTGACCCACTTAAGCAAAAGGGGATTTCTTGGCAGAACATGATGGGGTGGGAGTTGGTGACTCACAGCATTCACAGGGAACTGGCCGAGGTTGGGAGTGGATTAAAAACTGGGGAGCTCTCTGGACCCGGCCAGCTCACCATGCTGCCACAGTGACAGGGACTGCTGACCATTTCCTGTGCTCTTGGGGGTCACTTTCTGGAGAGGAAGCTCCCAAGAGAGAGCAACAGATTGGCTGAGCATAGGTTTTCCGCCTGCCTCCTGGTGGTCCTGGAGTCAGGAGAAGCAACGAACCGCCCTAACCTGTTCCCAGGAGAGGTAGGTGCCTGCAATGACCCTCCATCAATGTGGAGAGGCTCCCTTCATGGAAGTGGGTGTCCGGCCAGCAGAGCGTGAAAAATGCCCATGGGCTGAAAGCCTGTGTTCTTACCCAGGTGCTCCACAAAACTGAGGATTATTTAAGGCAAGTGCTGTGTAAAGCTGCTGAATCCGTCTACAGCCGCATCATCCAGGTGAAGAAGATGAAGGCCATTTACCACATGCTGAACATGTGCAGCTTCGACGTGACGAACAAGTGCCTCATCGCTGAGGTCTGGTGTCCTGAGGCTGATCTACATGACCTGTGCCAAGCGCTAGAGGAGGGGTCGGTAAGGCAGCCCTTCTTCCCCAGCCAGTACCAGGAGGGGTCCTGGCACTTCCCAGGGAAATGAGAGACACCAGCAGACTCGGAGAAGTAAGGGAAATGACCATTTCATAGAGCCAGGAAAGGTTGTTGTGCTAGTCCTGCTCTGGAATGAAATGATACGAGCCAGTCCCTGGAGGATGTGTGTGCTCATGCATTTTTTAAGTACTCTTCTGAGTTTTTCACTATCTACAGTGAAAAACTGTAGATATTGAAATGTGTAAGACACAATGACGTGGCTTCCTCCTGCCTAGAGCCTCATCTCTCCAGTCCTTCTGCTCAAAGATAGCCATTGTTTGAGTTCTGTGATGTCTTTGGGTTTCTTAATCTTAGATAAGCAGAAATGAACAGGTATTTTTCTTTTCCTTTCTTTGTAGAAGGTTGCAGTCATACTGTTCTTTTCACTTACTAAAACGTCCCTATTTTTTGTACCTTGTAGTATTCTGCTATGTGGTTGTACCAGGGTCTATTTAACTCTTTCCCTGGTCATTTAGGTGGTTTCCAGCTGTCTGAATACCAACACCGTGATGGTTCCTACATGCAGAAATCTATCTCTGGGATAAATTCCCGGATATGAAATTGCTGGGAATTTTGACAGATACCACCAGCTATTGCATTTCTCTTATTTTGGGTGATGTTCGTAATCTCTTTGTATGTGTAAGAGCCTTGAGAAGTTTTTTTGTGTGTGTGTGAACTCTCTGTTCACATGCTTTGCCCATTTTCTACTTGGTTGTTGGTCCTTTTCTTACTCATTTCTGTTGGCTCTTTGTGATATGAGAAAATATGTTTTCCCCAATCTGTTGCTTGTCTTTTGATATTTCTGTTTTTGTTTGCTTTGGTCATACAGAATTTTTTAAATTAAGTATAACCAATCAACCTCTGTTGTTACAGCTTCTTAACTTTGACTAATAGGCTTTACTCACTCCAGGTCTACAGAACAGTGTCCCATGTTCCTGTGAGGGCTTTTTCTGTATCAAAACTCAATTCTTCACTAGAAATAACAGATTTACATATTTCAAGTGACAGTTAAGGAAGCAAGTTTTCATAGAGGTTTTTTGGTTAATCACTTTGTCGCATTATGTAATTCTGTGATAGCAGAACTATAAAATAGCCAGTGCCAAGAAGGAATCTAATATATAAATGAAACTAGTTATTTCAGAGTTTGAGGCATCTGTTTCAAAGATCTAGATGATTTTTATTTATTGAGGTAACATCAGTCTTGAGTGACATCACCAATACTCTTGTTATATGTGGTGTGTGTGTTAACCTTTAAGGCCTGTATTCACTTCATGCAGGGTGCATGTTGCTGTTCTCCGATGTCCACATGCACACCCTTGGTGTCTTGGGAGCTGCTTGCTCAGGTGCCAGTGGACACAGTGGGCACTGACCCCGACACCACACAGATAGTCTCTGCTCCATCTCTTAGCTTCTGGCTCTATTGTTTTTCTTGCTAAGGTGTTCAGCTGTCTGCTGCTTGTTTCACGGTATCCCTCCCTCCTCCCTTCCCTTCTCTTCTTCCTTGTCTCAGTTCCTGTGACTTTTCATTTCTTCTTGGCTTTTTAGTTATCTTGAAAAAGGGTTGATTTTCATAGACATGACCAGTCAATTAAAACATTTCTAGTGCTGATGAAAAACAGCTCATCGCCATGCACCATGGGAGCCTGTGTATCGGCTGGTGCTAGACAAAACCCTTTTGCTGCCAGTAAGATTGCGTTTGATTTGGGCACCCAGTGGTTCTGGCACCCAGCCTCATGGCAAGCAGCACTGTGCTTCAGTTGGGGCACCATGTAGCCTCCAGGTTGCAAACCACCAGGTTAATGCTGATGTCTCTTCAGTCTTTTTGGCTGTTTGAAGCCTGTTTTCTAGTGAGTCCTCAGTGGGAACTCATGGAAACAATATTCGCTGAGTTCTCATGTGTTGTTAATAGAATGTCTCCTGCCTTTTTAATTGGAAATTAATTTTTTGAAATAAAATCTTTGACTCGTGTTTTTTTGTTTTTGTTTTCCGTGGGTATCTTAAACATGTTAATCTATTTTGTTCAGGCATACTGCTGCTAACAAAAAACTTGATTTTAATCTAATTTTATTTTCCTTAAGTTATGTGCTCTTTTGTTTTTCGCCTAGGTGCTCAAAGTATTTTTTCTGTTTCTTTAAGGACCAATAATTTTACTAGAATATGTGTTGATCTGGCCGTTCTGTGTTGGTATTCTCAGATATACAGTGAGTTCTTTAAATATACAGTTGTCTTATATTTCAGATAAGTTCTCATAACATAGTGTTTGTCCTCTCTTGCTCTGATTTTCTCCTCCAGGATCTCCTATTATTGTTAAGTTGAACCTTCTTTGTTTATCTTTGACATTTGCTACTTTTCCTCAAATCCTTCTTGTCTTTCTTCTTTATGATTTGTAGAAATTTCTCCTTACAGTTTCTTCACTTTTGATTTCCTTCTAACTTTTGCTTCTGAATAAATGTTTGATTTCGAATTCCTTCTTGAGTTCTGTTATTTCATTTCAGACTCTAATTCTGATCTGTGGTGCTTTTTCATATTGTGTATTATCTTAATTCTTTTAACTTATTTTAAAGTAGTAAGTTAGTTTTCACCTGTTTTGTGGGCATGTCTTTGTGGCCTGCTTTCATCATCCTCAGGGAGGTCATTCTGCTCAGTCTTTTTGCTATAATTTTCTCTAAGGGTTGACCTCCATCTTTATCACTTTTAAAAGAAATGAAATTTCTGAAACATGTTTAACTACTTAAGGAAGTTCTATATTATACATAATAAATATTCACATATATGAATATATATTTAGAATACTCAAATTACATATAAATAATTATATATTTACATGAAATTGACTTTGCAGGACATGATGAAGATATTCAAGGAGCTTTTAAAAGGCAGGTTCAAGATCACTTTTCCTAAGTTCACAATTTTTTCTTTTCATATTTTTGAGCACTGATCAAAGAGATCTCCAGGACCTGAGATTCCCTGTCTCCCTCTTTTTCTTGGACCATCTCTTTCCTTATGTTTCTTGCGTTTGTCCTGGGTGGTTTTTGACTTCATTCCCAGTGGTCTGTCCTCAGTGTGGGGAGGGAGTCCTGGCTGTTCTGTGAGTTCGGACTCCCTTCAGAGCTCACTTCCCACAGACCCCTTGCCCTCACCCACTCTTCGGCAGGACAAAACCCATCCTGGTTTCAGCTGCTTTTCCTGGGCTGGCCTGCCATGCTTTTCAGGGCATGCCTTTTGACTCTTCTGGGACCTTTTTTCCTCAAGTCTTTGAAATGCCACATTGCTTCCTTGGCTGCTTCTGGCCTGGAGTCTGTTTCCAAGTGGGTTTTGTGGCATTAGTGGTTGGTCCCCACCCTTTTGTGTTTTGTGGTCTGTGAGGATCTTATATTTTGTTTTTTGTTGTAAGTGGTGTCCGTGGGACTTTGGTTTTGCTGTCTAGTGGCACCATCTGTACTTGAGGAGATTCAGGGATATTCTAGACTATACTACTGCTGGGAATTTTCCCAGTTTCCCCTTAACCATAATTGTGTGTTTTGAGAAATATAATTTGGAACATCTATTCTGGTAATAACCTATTTTACTTTATTTAAAAAGGTTTTTCCCCCCATTATAAATCAACATAATGCATTTCAGAAGAATTGTAAATACTGAAGGAGAAAGTTAGATATTTGATTTGCCACACTAATATGGACATTTTGGTTTATTGTCTAATTTGGTTTTGTTAGGTAACAGTGTAGCTTTCTCTAAATTCCTATTGAACAGTTTTCAGCGATGACATAGTAAATGTCAGTTTTATGTTGGTGGTTAAGGGACTGCTTATACACACATGTACTGTTTGTCTCCCAGTGCCTCCATCCACGTTCCCACCCACTCAGCCTCACTGCGCTCTTCTCCCCTGCCCCCTGCCCTGCCCTAGGAGACTCCAGTCCCCATCGCTGCGCTCGTGAGCCTGCCGCATGTAGCCACGCTCAGAGCTGTGCCGTAGCAGGGGCCCGTACTATCCAAGAGAGCTCTTGGATAGTAATTTTTTCCCTTTCCTTTCCTTTTTCATTCTCTCTTTTTCTTTTTATGTGAAAGAGACAGAGCAGTGCCACAATCCCCTCATTTATGAACACAATCCCAACAAAAGAAACACCCCCGACTCTGATCCGCACCAACAAATTCACCGAGGGATTTCAGAATATTGTGGATGCCTATGGAGTTGGGAGCTACAGAGAAGTGAATCCAGGTTGGAACTCTGAATTTGCAAATCTTTGTGTTTTGTATGTCACTGTTTTTTTTTGCCATATAAGAATGTCTAGATGTTTGAAAACATAGACTCACTACAAGTGTTTTGTCATCTTATTTAGTACAATGTATTGATTTTAACCCTTCAGTTCTCTCTGGAGAATTCTGGAGAAAGTCAGATGTCTCAGGGAACTAGAGTGTTCTGCCTTTGCCATCATTGGAAGCCTCTTGCTTTCCCTGCAGCTCTCTTCACCATCATCACTTTCCCCTTTCTATTTGCCGTGATGTTTGGAGACTTTGGACATGGCTTTGTGATGTTCTTGTTCGCCCTCTTGTTGGTGTTAAATGAAAATCATCCCAGACTCAGTCAGTCCCAAGAGGTAAGAATATAAACACTGTGGCTCATTCTGTCTGGATGGGTGGTATTCGTGGTGATCACTTTCTCTTTGACCAAGAAAGAGCCGTTTCTTCCATGTTAGTTTTTGGCAATAGCCATACCCTACTTGAGACATAAGTGGTCTGGGTCTGCGTGACCTGAATGACAGGGATGTCCGGTACGTGGCTAGTTTTTGAGACCTAAGAGGACTGACTGGTAAGAGCTTGCCCAAACTGCCATGGCCCACTGAGCACATGTTCCCAGCAGTCCTGTTTTGCTCACCCTGCTTTGCCTTCCACAGATCATGCGGATGTTTTTCAATGGTCGGTACATCCTCTTGCTGATGGGGCTGTTCTCAGTGTACACAGGTCTCATCTACAACGACTGCTTCTCCAAGTCAGTCAACATTTTCGGCTCCAGGTGGAATGTGTCTGCCATGTACAGTTCCAGTCACACCCCAGCAGAGCATAAGAAGATGGTGCTTTGGAAGTAAGTGCTCTTTCCCAGACACTGTTTGAGGTAGGAAGAGCGTTTGCGTGAGATGCCGGCCCCCTCCTGGTGTTCAGCTTCCCACTCTGCTTTCCATTGCAGCACCAGCACTCTCAGGCACAGCAGGGTTTTGCAGTTGGACCCCAGCATCCCAGGAGTGTTCCGAGGCCCATATCCTCTTGGTATTGATCCTGTGAGTGCATTTTCCCCCCATCATCTGGGGTTCTTTGTTTTAACTGTCCATGGGTCCTGGGCCTCCTGGCATGGGTCATATGCCATCTGGGGGAGGTGGTGGTGCTTGGGGTTGTAGGGGTGGCTTTGGCCTTGATGGCAGTGGCTCACCGCATTCCTATTTGAGTTGGGTATAGATGAAGCTGAGGTGCCAGAGACCAGGCATCCAGAGAGATAGGGCTGTGTTCTCTTCTGTTCCCTGACCTGTTTCACTCCAGTGAAAAATGGTACTTGAACCATTTACTGGGTGCTCTTTCTTGAATTTCTTCCTTGTGTATGTGAATTTTTTTTTACCAGTTGATTGAGAAAGAAATAGTATGGAATTTTCAAGCTGAAAGGGAGTTTCAGGCTATCATGGAGCTTATTCAGGTGGTTGTCCGAAAAGGGGAAAGCCTTGGGAGAGGGAAAATGCAGGAACAGCTCCAGATCCAGGGCCCCCATGGGAGCCCAGCAGGCAGGGTCCCACAGGGCTGAGAGCACCTCCCTGATTGCCAGGGGTCTTCCTGAGGAAGCTCATCTATAAGAGAAGAGCTTAGATATCATTGCTGAATTGGTTTTGAAAGATGTGAGGTCATTGTGTGCAGTGATGACCTGAACCCTCCAAATGAACACTTGCTTACTTGTTCTGTTCATTTTTATCTCTAAACATATTCGTATAATTTAATGTTGTTCCTTTAAGTCCTAATATAATTGGAAACTTGAAAAAACTTCTATGACAATTTCCTAAAGGTACAGCATTTTGGAGCCGGATTCCCTAATAATGTATGAACTTGCTTTAAGGAAAGACATGTTTCTGAATAAAGGCACCAAGGACGAAAATTTGAATGGGTTCTTTGGGGGGGAAGGAGGAGATTGGGGCACAGTACTCTCTTCTTTCTGCGTAAATTTTAAAAATTGGCATTACCTTCGTATGGTGCCAAAGTAGATCTGTGCATGTACTTTCTGCATATAAAGAGTCTCCAGCTCTAAAACGTCTCCTCCCATCCTGTCTTACTCCCAGCACACTCCCTATCCAGGAACCACTGGTGTTAGTTTCTTGTGTCTCCTTCCAGAGAGTCTGTGAATATACAAATAAACAAAAATATGTGACCTTATTCTCTCCCCACCTTTTACTCGAAAGATAGTTCTATGCCTTCTTTTAACTGAGTATTCAGAGACGGACTTTCCTGTTGTACATTTCTATGTGCTGAGCCATTGGGAGCTCTGCATTCGACTGCATTTTGCTTTCTTTTCTCTTTTTTCTCTCTGCCTCCCCCTCCCATCACTCCTCACTTCCTGAAGCCACTGTTAATGGGTTTTCCTCAGTGTTTAAGTCAGTCAGCTTACTGGCCAACTTTTTACCCAGTTCCTAGCCCCAAACACCTCATTCTAAAATCTTATTTTCACTTGAAAAGAATGAGTCTTTCTCTCCTAGGAGGCCCTGTTTCCCTTTTTTTGATCCCCCTGATGGGAAACTGTCACAATTACTTTTTCAAGGAGTACGAGAAGCAGTCAGTGAGTGGGGACTTTGGAGGGGGCTGGGGTCAGGGCAGCCCTGGATATTCAGCCACGGGGCCCATGGGACCTGGCTCTGGGCTTCATCATCAACACAACTTGGCCACTTGCTACATTTCTTTGTTCTTTTTTTTCTAGTTAAACTTTATTATAAAATACTCGTAAGAGCCGTATAAAATGTGTTTGTGAAGTTATAACACAGATTCTTGTATGCCCCCTGCCCAGGGTGAGACTCTGGGACCCTGAGTGTGTCCTGCTGGCACCCCCATAGCTCTCTCCAGAGGGAACTGTCTACTCTCCTGAACTCCCTGCTACTTGTTCTCTTGCTTTTCTTGTTTGTATGATTTCCTAGGCATGGGAAGTTTTAGTTTATCACTAAATAGGATATTGTTTCATTTGGCATTCTTTGAATGTTGCTTTAAGGGGGGAATTATTTAACAGTCTGTGTCCCTGGTTTCAGAAAATGAGTGGTTCTCAGATTGTGAGGGCATCAAGAAGCCAGTCTGAATGTTGCTTTCTTTTTAAATGTACAACTACTTTTCTTTACAATAGGAACTTTCCGGTGTCAGTTGTTTATCCTAAAGCCGTGGAAGGAAGTTAAAGATTAGTTTTTTTGTTTTCTCTTTAGATTTGGAACTTGGCCACAAATCGTCTCACTTTTCTCAATTCTTTCAAAATGAAAATGTCTGTGATTTTAGGAATTAGTCACATGACTTTTGGAGTTGTTCTTGGGATATTTAACCACTTGTAAGTATAGAATTTTTTTTAAAGCAATTTTTATAAGCCACTTTGGTATTTCTTAAACTTTGTTCCTTGATGGTAGACTGTATAGTCTTGAAGGCAACCAATATGGTGGTACATTGTATTACATGATTCTGTTTTGAAGAAACATTTTTTGGGTAGTTTCAATGATTCATTTACTTGGCAAATATTTACTGAGTGCCTAGTATGTGCCAGGCACTGTTCTAGGCTGTAAGGCTTGAGCAGCAAGGAGGACAGAAAAATGTTTTTGCCCTTACATTTAAGTAAACTTTCCAGAAGTGATTTTTGTCATGCTCTTTTTTCCTCTTATAAATTAGAAAACTTTAAGAGGAAGAGATTTTTTTTTTTTTTCCCTAAGTGGATCTGATAGTGAAACATCAGTCATTTTTCCTGTCCTCACCCTTCATCTTCTGAATATCTGAATCACTAGTGGGACAAATGATGCTGTGTGGAGACAGGCTTGTCACGAAGAAGTTAAGATTAATTTACTCTTTACTTTGTGTCTTAGTCCAGTCTTGTTCCTGGGTTGATCCGTTCCTTTTTTTTCTAGGCATTTCAGGAAGAAGTTCACTATTTATTTAGTTTCCATCCCAGAACTTCTCTTCATGCTCTGCATCTTTGGATACCTTGTATTTATGATTATCTATAAGTGGCTGGCTTACTCAGCAGAAACTTCCAGAGTTGCTCCTAGCATTCTGATTGAATTTATTAACATGTTTTTATTTCCGGCTAATGAAACAAATGGTCTTTACCAAGGGCAGGTGAGTAATTGTTTCCACTCTTACGAATTTAAAAGATGTCCTCCCTATTGCCTTTCTGTTTTGATCAGTGGAATGATTAAAGGTATGCAGAATTTCAGTTTCTCGTATGTTATCACGAGAGAGTGCCAGGCTGCTCTGGACACCATGCCAGGGCGCTGGTCTGCAAGTCTAATCCAGACCCAGTGCTGGCAGTCGTCAGAATTGGTGGGAAGGACATGTATCACTGGAGAGTTTCTACTCTTATTTATTTTTCTCCTGTTCATAATTTCTAAAAATTGTATTGTTTTATTAGACCTTTGTAGAATAACATAGATTAGGTATATAAAAAAGCAGTTCAGTGAAGCACAGGTGCCATGGTTGGAAAGATCAGTGAAGGGGACTACCTTTATTTAGCATCTATGGCATGCCTGAGAATCGGCTTTCTCTAATTCTTTCTTAAGACAGCAGCGCCAAAATAGGTTGGTCATCCTGGTGGCTCAGGGCAGGCCTGGTCGCTCAGCTGCTGATGGGGTCTGGATTTTAACCTGATTCTGCCTGACTGCACAGCTCATGACTTATGATGACTGACTGCCTACGGCCCACTCTTCTGGGCGTTTTGGAGTGTGAGAGTGCTGTGGTCTGAGACGTGATACCCAGATCATTCCAGCTCATGCTGAGTAGTGCATGGGGCTCTGGGAATCTGTGTTTAACACAGGTACAGCCACAGGCAGGGATAAGCAGGGGACAGTGCAGTGGCTGTCATTTGTTTTCATAGCCACCTCCAGATCCTTTAAAAGCACGCAGACTGCAATGCTGTGTAAGCATAATATGCCTTGCTTTCCATTTATTTTTAAGTAACTGCAAATCTCCCTTCTTTTTCAGAAAATGTTTTTAATTCTGTTCTGAATGCTATTTCAGTATTTTTCATGTGTAGAAGTAAATCCACTTAGTACATGCTCACATTCCTCAAGTTGTCTACCAAGAATATGAAAAAATATATAGCTAATGTTTGTATTTTCCCATTTCAGAATATTATTAGGTGGAGTTTGGTTATATTTAGAATTTCCCTACAAATTCCTTACTGGGCTAAATAAAATGATGTTTTACCACTCCGTCACTAGTAATACTCTTCAGTTATAGAATTCAACTATGACGTGAGGAAGAGAAAGAGAAAGATGCCCTGGCAAACATAATTTGGCTTGCATTTGTTTTAAGTTCCTTATTAATAACAGACATTGTCCTTGATTTATACTCATTTAAGTAAGTGCGCCAATAGCGTTGTTAGCATCGATAACTTCCTCCCTTTCTGCACCATCAGGAGCATGTCCAGAGACTGTTGCTGGTCATCACAGCATTGTCTGTCCCTGTCCTCTTTCTGGGAAAGCCACTCTTCCTGTTATGGCTGCACAACGGCCGCAGCTGCTTTGGGGTGAGCCGGGTAAGTATGAGGTTGTCTGTGTACTTGTAGGCGGTGAGCAGAGTCTACTTTACTCATAAAAGGATTGGCAAATAAAGCACCTTTCAGAGAGTCCCAGTCTCTTGATTTAAAAGCCACAGCTTCCTTTATTTAAGACTTTGGTGTTGCCTATTGTGCAGAAGCTTAATGCAAAGAGCCCACCATGTCTGGGCACATGGGAACAGGTCTTGTTGTCATGCACAGCAGACCTGTCAGGAGTTAGAACTGAATCGGAAGTACAGCTTGCCATATTTAAACCATTTTTGTTCCTCATTCTTGCCTCTTGAATTTTTTCCTGTAAGTGTTCTTTTAGTTAAATAATACAAATAAATTATGGAAAATACAGAAAATAGTTCCCTTAAGTTCTATCACCCAGCTGTAACCAGTGCTGCCAATTTGTTAAATTTCTTTCCAGACTGTTTACCTGTGTGTCTAGCTTCCTACTTTATTTCTCTTTTAAAAAGTTGTGATTAAATCTACATAAGTTTTGCACTTTCACCATATTTCAAGTGTACAGGTGAGTGGCATAAAAACTCACACTCTTGTGCAACCATCCCCACCATCCACCGCCAGAACCTTTCTATCTTCCCAAATTGAGACTTGTTCCAGTGAAACACTCTCCGTCCCCCAACCCCTTGCACCCTTTGACTCTGGATTTGATTCCTCCGAGTACCTCATGTGAGTGAAATCATACAATATTTGTCCTTTTGTGACTGGCTTCTTTGACTCAGCATCATGTCTTCAAAGTTCGTCCACACTGTGGCATGTGCCAGGATCTCCTGCCTTTTTGAGGCTGGGCAATATCCCATTGTATGGACGGAATGACCACATTTTGCTAGTCAGTTCACCCATCAGTGGGCACTTGGGATGTTTCTGCCTTTTGGCTAGTGTGAATAATGCTGCTGTGAACATGGGTATATAAATGTCTGCCCAACTCCTTGCTTCGATTCTTTTGGGTGTAGACCCAGAAGTGGAATTACTAGATCACTTTCTGTGATTCATTTGTTAGCAAACCACCACACTGTAACTACAGCTGCTGCACCATTTTACACTCCCACCAACAGTGCACAGGGTTCCAGTTTCTCCACCCCTGATCAACACTTCCCTTGTTTTTTATGATATCCACACTTGTGGGTATGATATGCTCATTTTATTTTAAAGAACTTTTATGTTCTTAAAGAGCTGAGACTCTAAGGGAAACAAAGGGTCTCTAACTTTGGTTGTGTCACAACCTTGTGATTTTAAAGGCAATGACTCTGAACTCATTTGGTTGTTGTCAGAGCGGTTACACACTTGTAAGGAAAGATAGCAAGGAAGAAGTTTCTTTGCTGGGAAGCCAAGACATCGAAGAGGGGAATAACCCCATGGAGGACGGATGTAGAGAAGTGCCCTGTGAGGAGGTAATCTTTTCAGTTCCTCTTGATAACATTAGATAAGAAGGCAAGCTTTCACAGAGAGAATCGTCATGTAACAGTGATAATCTTAAAACAGCTGTTGCTCTAAGCTTTACAAATGCTGTTTTGGTCACTTGTCATAATATAAGGATTTGGGGCTAACATTTTATTCCAGTTTTACAATGGGACTTAAAGTGGTAACATTACAAACTATGACATAAGTGGCCTTAGGTGCTATGAACATTGCTTTCAGAAGATTCTTGTCTCTGTCAGAACTTTTCTGTACTGGCAAGAGAGAGACCTGGTTCACACTGGCTTCAAGGGATCTACTGGCTTATGTCAGGGCAGGAGCAGAGATGGCCCCAGGATAATTGGCATCTTTTCTCTGTGTGCATGCATCTCTGGTATTTCTTCCTCCTCTTGTAAGGATACCAGTCCTATTGGATTGGGCCCATGACCTTATGACCTCCTTCAACCTTAGACACTGCCATAAAGGCCCTATCTCCAAGCATAGTCATATTGGGGGTTAGGGCTTCCACATAGAGATTTTGATGGAACACAGTTGAGCCCATAACTGGCTAGGGTTACAGGGCTGGGTAGAGGAAGAAGCAGTCCCCCCTAAGAAGGGAGGCACAGTCTGGGCAGACAGAGCATGCTTGCCACTCTGGTCTGCTTTATTTTCTTGGAAACTATTTGGATATCCAGTAAGGACGCAACAAAATTTCTTATCATCAGTATTTTGTAGGTTAGTGTTTTAATTTGGGATGATTAATAATTCATAGGATCATAAGAAAACAAAGAACAGAGCTGGAAAGAATGTTAGAGTCATCTTGCCTGGGTTTTGCAGCCTCCTCTCGGGGGCCTCCTTTTAAATTTTCCCTCATCAGACATGTATTAGAATGTGCTTATCTATTCAGTGCACACATTTATTAATAGTCTGCAATCTTACTGGTAAATTTCTGGTTTTCATTAGGTGTTTTTTAGTTACTGAGACTAGCCCGAGATGATACACTCCCTGGGCTGTCTTGGAGTTGTGGAATCACGGTTCCAGTCCAGCCCTCGGTATACATGAGGAACAGGCTGGCAGAAGTGGGTTGAACTCAGTAGGTCACAGGGCTGGTTAGTGGCAGAGCTAATGGGTAGAGCTTGTCTTGAGATTCTGTTCCTCACACTCCAACATGTCTCCACCAGTGTTCCCGAAGCCTGTGCTTACATTATAACCCTGAGTGGAGCAAACTTGTAACTGGATATGCAGGTAACATACTGACTCTAACATGTTGCTGTCTAATCTCTCTCAGTTTAATTTTGGAGAAGCATTAATGACCCAAGTGATTCACTCCATCGAGTACTGTCTAGGATGCATCTCCAACACTGCTTCCTACCTGAGGCTCTGGGCTCTCAGCCTGGCTCATGCACGTAAGTTTTTGCTCAGACTTGCAGTTCCCAAACACTGCTGAGACACCCCGCAGTGCCACAGCAAACTCCTAGGGCACTATGGGACATTTAAAATTCTTGAGGGAAACACCAGCTTTCAGATACTGTGTGTATTCCTACTATTAATTGGACTTAACTACTTCATATATGGATTCCTTGGGTATTTCTCTTGGCCTTGGGATTCTGTGAGAAAATTAGGGAGACACAGGGACTTTAGGAACCAGGAAGGGTCGGGAACCTTGGCAAAGATACTTCCCCTCTCCGCTGTTACCAGTGTGGTTTTGTTATTGCTATTATTTTGTTTGGTCCTGCCTTACCCAGTATGAGTATCTACCTATGTCAAGCAGGTCCTAAACCGACACTGATGAGTAGTTTTGATTAAAGGCAGTGCTTCCTTTGCATGGTGCTGATGATGGACAAATTCAGTTACTGGTTTAGTCCCCAACCCCATGGTTCGCCTTGCAGTTACCACAGCATGCCAGCTGCATATGTGTATAGAGCACATGCTTCCCTGCTAACCCCACAGATATGCCTCATGATCAGTGAGGTCACATCACCTCTTTCAAAGGCTGTTGCTGGCTGGTCCCCATGTGGTTGCTCTTCAGATTGCACAGACAGCAAAGCACATGGTAGGATGGCCTCCTTGTGGGCCAGTGACAAACCCATTGACATTCAAAAACGGATAATTGAGAGAGAATTGGCCAACAGAGATGGAAATGCAGCAAAGAAACAGATAGTGCTTCGCTGGAGTGGTAATGCGAATTGGTTGTGAAGGGAGGTACAGAAGGCTGGCTGGTGGTGGGGGCACCGCACCTGTCATGTAATAGACTGTGCAGCCAGAGGAACGCAGGGAAGCACATCTATGGGCAGAAATGAGCAAAGTGGTTATGATGAAGGTGTAGGTGTCCCAGCAGATGCGGTGCCACAGGAGCTTCAGTAGATATTTCAGGACAAAGGTGCATAGGCTGCTATGTTGGAAGCTGCTACAAACTTAGCAAAGAGTATGACAACTTGCTCAATACTGGGAGAGGTGCTGGCTCCTGTCAAGGTGAAGCTTGCCGGAGTTACAGAAGAAGGTGCCTGTTCATGCTGCCCCAGTTTTCTCTTAGCAAAACTCCCCAACAATTGAACACTGTTTCTAATCTTGGAAAAATAGATTTTTTAATCATTTTTCTATGCATTTATAACCAAGAGTAAAAGTCTTCTGTGTTTTGACAAGAATTTTTAAAGGTCCCAGAACAATCATGATTTTGCCACTGATGATGAAGGATGCTCTTGTGTGACTTTGACTGCACAGCCTTTTTTATGGTTCTGTCCTGACTGCAGAGACTGCCTAGGCTTGAGAAGGCTGCCAGCTGATACTTCGATAAGCGCAGCCACAAGTCTGGAATTTCATGGCTGTAGAGGATGCCTTGGTCCATCACCTCCATTTTACAGAGGAGACTGAAGCCTAGTGGAGTGGTGCTGACACCAGCTCACCTGATCAGCCAGTTAGTGCCAGAGCCAGGACTGAACACCTAGCCTTTCGTGCCTGGCCCACTGCTATGTGAGACAGAGCAAGCCAACCCCAGTTTGGGTCAAGATCTCATGGAGAAGCAGGCCTCTGATTTTTCTGGAAGGCCACCTCTCCCTCTCTGTTTGATCTATGAACAGGTTAACTTTTACATGAGAAGCAGATTAGGTCCATATAATGTAGGTGTGTCTGTTATTTTATGGATAACAATTCAGAATTGCCAGACAGAAGCCCAGCCCAACTAACTAATTGAAGTGACACATTGAATGTAAACAGAAGTTAACTCTGCAAAAACAATCCCTTTGCAGAGTTATCTGATGTCCTGTGGGCCATGCTGATGCGGGTGGGTCTCCGAGTAGACACAACTTACGGAGTCTTGCTGCTGCTCCCGGTTATTGCTCTCTTTGCAGTTTTGACAATTTTCATCCTTTTGATCATGGAAGGGCTTTCTGCATTCCTTCATGCCATACGCCTCCATTGGTGAGTTAGCTTTGGAACTGTTCTTTAAAAAATCTAACCCTTCCCCATAAATACATATATAAATAAAATCCCTATAAGAATTTAGTGCTTAATTTAGGTTAGTTCTTCCTTCCTATCATTGGGATCTGTATTCAGATCCCGAGTTAAAACTGTATTTTGTTTCTGAACTGTTATCACAGACAAGTGAAAGCGAATTTACACTTGCTGGATCATTATGTGTACTTCATACTTTTAGTTTAGTTCATTTTGGACTGACAGATTGCTTTCTCTTATTTGTAAGATACTTCTTACATATTAATGTTTCATAGTATACTCCAGATTACTTGTCTGTAAATCCAGTTACCAAGGTGGAGAGGTTCCTGACACCTGTGTGTATGTCTGTAATGTGTGAGGGGGCATTGTATGTTAGTGTTTCTGTTACTCTTGAGAAAGCAAACATGGGGCTGGGTGTGTATGTGGATTTTATTTAAATAAAAATATTTATGCCAAGTGCATCTATAGAATGAAGCAAATTGAGCACAGAACTTTCATTTTTAACTTTTAGGTGTTTTAAGAAACGTAGGAAATGTTATTCACAATCTTTCACTAATACATGAAAATTTTTTTTTTTAGGGTAGAATTTCAGAACAAATTCTACACTGGTGCAGGCACCAAATTTGTTCCTTTCTCATTCAGGCTACTTACATCGAAGTTCAGTGATGACATGACATGATCGTACTGCTGTATCCAACAAGCTTTCAGATTTATGGAGGATTATCATGTTAATTGAATTTCACTTATGTCAAATTTACGTAGGAAAAATTCCATCTTTATTGATTGCCTTATGATATAGCCAAATAATTCTGTAAGATATACCTCTTCCTCGTATGTTAAATATTTTATAAAGCTTACCAACTTGAGATGCAAATTTGAGTTTTTATGATGAGCAAATAAAAGCTACTGCCAAAAGTTATGTTCAAGTTACTTTTAAAAATACAGGCTTAGGGGAGAGCAGCCAATTTTAAATGGCTAATTGAAAATAGTCTTAGACACTTGATTCCTTTTCACCTAATTTAAAAAAATGGAGTTGTTCTGTTACCTGAACTTGCCAGATAATATTTTCCAACAGCTGAAGTATAGTTCTTTAAATTTAATGATGGCTAATTGAAAGATTCACATTTATTCTGTGTGATTAAAAGTATGCAAACTTTTTTTATTGTATGTTATCTAGAATTTTAAGTAGGGGATTATTTCTACAATTTTGACCTGTTTTAATAATCGGGGAAATGGGATAAAATACAACAGATGTATTATCCCACTTGTATATTTTTTTAAAGGTTCTTGTCCTGTTTTCCTTACATAAGCCCAATTATGGTAATCCTATTTGAAAAGATAAACTGTGTACTGAGCCGCAAAACCCAGTGTGACTGTGGACAATATAATATGGATATGATTTGAACTTAGTGACCAGCATGGTTGATGTGACTGAACCAAAAGGGTTTATACTGAAGAAAAAAAGGTCAAAAGTAAATTTTATAGTTTTATAATTATTAAAATTTTACTATGAAGAGATTACATTTATCTTTGAGAACAACAGAATTATACTTTCAGACTATTTCTAAATAAAGATCTGATAAAGGCATTTAAACTTTCAAACACTATTTAAACCACACAAAAATATTCATATTTATAATCTTTAAATTCATATTCACTTGGCATTTAGTTTTGAGTGAATTTGACTCAGTCCTGTGAAGCATTTTGATCTCTTGTATACAGATGGTCCATGATCTATGATGGTCCAACTTGGGATTTTTTGACTTTATGATGCTAGGAAAGCAATGTGCATTTAGTAGAAGCCATACTTGGATTTTTGAATAGGATCTTTTCCCAGTCTGGTGATTTGGGGTGATAAGGGTATGATTTATTTCTTGTAATACTGGGCAGAGCAGTGAGCCTCAGCCGCACGAGCACAGGGCTCAACAACTGATAGACTGACAGCTCCATTTTTTACTTTAAATACACGAATGTATTCAGTAAATTACATGAGCTCTTCAACACTATAGTATTAAATAGGCTTTGTGTTAGATGGTTTTGACCAACATCAGACTCATGTAGGTGTTCTGAGCATGTTTAAGGTAGGCTGGGCAGAGCTGTGATGTGCAGTAGGCTAGGTGTATTAAATGCATTTTTGACTTAGCAGTATTTTCAACTTACAATGGGGTTATTGGGACATAACCCCATCATAAGTCGAGGAAAATCTGTATTGTAAATTATGTTCATTTTCATATTTTACTATAATTGACTTTAGATAAGTTTTTTTTTTGATCTGCAATATTTTTACTCTCTTAACATTTTGAGTAACACACATTAAAAGACCCGTTTGTCACTATGCTCCTTTACCCTGTGTAGTGGTAGAGTTTGGAATTCTCATTATAAACTAAGATTATGGTAGCACTGAATTTAAGCATATCTTTTCAGCAAATTTTAAGGTCTGTTTGCTGAGGGGCATGAACTGAATGAACATCATGACATAACTGTGACTCTAACATTGAACATTTTAATTGTAGTAGATTCCACACTGCTCTTCCATGAGATGTTACCCAGAGTCAAGGGTTTGTCTTTCATATTAAAATCCCAAACATAAATTGATACTGATGAAACTCTTGAAAAGGATTCTGCTTTCAAAGTTAAGTTTCCCCAGAAAGGTGTAATGGTGGGCCCTTTTTTCGTTGGGTGATTATGACGTCTGAGTAATGTCTTTCAGGTTTCAAACTTATCCCTCACAAGTTGTTTTATTACTGCATTCTAAGGATCTGTTGTAATATAGTGGTAGCTAATTCATCCCTAGGAAACCCTCCATTCAGGGCACTGTTAACTGATTAGCAAACAAGAGACATACAGTATTTGCTGGAATTCTTTACTGCCTCCACTGGTAATAGTCATGGGGGGCCACTTTTTAATTCTAATTAACACCTCTTATCAGGGTATAGAACAGAATGAAGAGTCATTTTTCAGTTGAAACCTATGTAGTAACGTAGAATGTAATTACATAAAAAGTGAATTAATAGTCCTAACTTTGGTGAAAGAACTCTAGAGATACAGTTTGAATGGTGTCTTTTAGGCACCTAGGGAAATTTCATTTCTTTATAAAGCTATTAGTTCCAGTGTCATTGTTAACAGAGTGGTTCCATTTTGTTTTTAAGCTATTAAAACTATTATGTATGTAATTTTTAAGACAGACTCCAATCCCTTGATAACAAATATTCAGAGGAAAAATGATAGTCTGGATGATGCTAAATACCTGTTTATTTTCCTGAAGATAAATGTCATGACCACCACGTTTTTGTTTTTGTTCAGTTACTCATTCTGTGTTAATGGTATCCTAAAATAAAAATCCAAGGGAATTCTTCAGGAAAATAGTATTTGACTTCATCTTGCGAGGGTGAAGAATGAAGCACATCCTTGTGACATAATGGTGATACATTAAGGAATGCAAGGGGTGTTTGAATGGGATCCAGTGAGCCCTGGGTACTTCCTACTCACTGTGGGTAGGACTTTGCCAAGACTCACCGTTTATTGAATGCCACTCTCCTCATTTCTGGGATAGGTATTTTGTGACAACATTCTTGTCTTAATTTGAATCTGCAGTAGTTTAATAAGGTGTAGAGTATCAATAGCATAGGTAATTTATGATGTTTTCATATTACATATTCAGACATTTTAGAGCCTGATGCATTTTGGAAAACAAAAAATAAACTGTTCTGCAGCCTGCATTTAAAAACAATAGATTTCTTTATTAAAAATTTAAGGCTGGTTTTGCTTGCATGTCATCTGGTATGTCTCCAGCAAGGTTATTAAGAAATTTTATTTCAAGATTATGAAAATAAGGCAGTTTGGAGTAATAGTTTTACAACAGCCGGTTCATTGATGCTGAGCTTTGGGTTAGAATTGTAAGAAATACTAAGAATATTCCACTTGTTACTCTATGGGAAAATAGCCAACAAGAAGGCTTGGTTCTTCGGTCAGCCTAATAATCTAGGGGCTCTGTAGAGGGGAATGACAGTCGTCAACCAGTTAAAACTACACAAATGCATGAAGGTACAAATTTGCATTTTCCTGTCAGTATTGCACTTTCTTTTACTAATGAAAAATAAATATATATTTTTAAAGTACGGTGTTTTGCCTTATTATACCCTGGCTTGGATAAAAAGCCAAAGCAGTCGGCCCCGTCCCCGATCCTGTTCGCCAGAAGGAACTTGTACCCTCTTGGAACTATGAGCAACCATTTGCCCCTTTGACGCCCTTTGATCCAATGGCTGTGGGCCTGGGCTGTAGCCCTGCCTCGCCACCACCTCTGCCTGCCACCTCCTTGGTTGCCCCAACCTGGCTTCCCTTGCCTCGGTTTCTCTATGGGCAGTACCGCGCGGATGCGGGCGGGCGAAGCTCAGATGCGCGCGCCGGAGACGGCAGACACGGTTCGCGCGCCGGCGTGCGCGCTGCCGCCTCTCGGCCTTGGGAGGCTGGGTGCCCCTGGCTGCGCGCCACCTCGGGCGGGTTCTCGGCTCTTCCGGCGCCCGGGGCTGTTCTCGCCAGGCGCGCGCTGCTACCGTTGCCGGGGCGCCCATTTGCTAAGGAAGCCGTTGCCACGAACGGCCGCCCCGCTCCCGGCTCCCGGCCCGGCTGCTGCAGGCGCCATGGACGACCTGCGGGTGCTGTGGATGCGCGACCGCGTCTACACGGCCTTCGGCCTCACTGACCCGCAGTTCTTCGAGGAGCTGCTGAACCGCAACGACGGCGAGGTGGAGGACCTCATCCTGCACTTCCTCAACCAGTCCAGCGACGAGGAGGGCGCCTTGACGCTCTTCTTCTATCGCAAGGTGGTGCCTGAGGAGGTGGAGGTGGAGATCGGTGAGCCCGCGGGGCCCGCCCGCACACCCTCCACCTGGTCCGGCCCGCAGCTGTTGACCCGGCGCTCCGGTGCGGGCTGGCCAGGCCTGCGTGACGGCGGAATCCTGGGGAATGTCTTCCTTTCAGGGCACTAAGGCTATCTCCAGTAACTGGAATATTTCTGTGTGACTGTGTTGGTTTGCAAACCGGCTCCTGTACATAAAGTGCAGGAGAGCCCCCAGGAAGGGCGCAGGCCCCTCCAGAGGGGCAGGTGCTAGGGTTAGCAAGCAAGGGAACTTCCAACCCGGCTTGTCCTGGGCGCCACCTGCCAGCACCGTCATGTTTACGGAGAGGCTGGCATGCCCGGTCGCCACACCGTCCAGAAGGTCCCAGCACTGCGTCGCTCTCTCACGGCTACTCTCCTGAACTGGCTCTGGTGGGGGTCCGGGGTGGAGCACACGTACCAAGGGGGTGACGTGCGGGTGTGCCCGGGATCAGCTCAGCCAACAAGTTGGTTGGGGTCACGCCCTCCCCGTGGCCGCCTCCAGTGGCCAGTCACATACAGACCTCTCCCAGGCCCACATCCCAACCTCAGCTCCAAAGAGGGCAGCGATACGAGGCACCTCACACAGTGAAGCAATGGCCGTTTCTTTTTTCCTTTCTGTTTTTGTGTCTCTAAAGACGGCGAGATACAGGCCACAGCTGAGGAGGATGAGGCAGAAGAGCCTGATTATCGAAGAGTCGAGTCTGTGGATAAAGCCTCAGGTGTAGTATTACCAGGGGCACTGAGGGAGCAGACCTGGAACAGCCTGCTCAAGGGGGTGCGCTTGTCCAGACTAGAAGCCCTTCCACTTTTCACCTTCATGCCCCTAAGATTCCGTGTGAAGTACAAGGAGGTGCCTGGGCGTTACTACGTGCATTATTCGTTGTCCAGAGCTGTCATAACTCCTGACCACAAACTGGCTGGCTTAGAACAACTTTTCCTGTCAGGGAGGGCAGACGTCCAAAATCCTGGTGAGCCCCCTCCAAAGGTTCCAGGGGAGGATCCTGCCTTGCTCTTCTGGCTGCTTGTGGTGCCAGCTATCCTTGGGGTTCCTTTGCTTGTAGACACATGGTTCCGATCTCTGCCTTTGTCATCTCATGACTGTCTTCCCCCTGTGTCTCTGTGTCTACATCTCTTATGAAGTCATTGGATTTAGGCCCAGCCTCACCAGTATGACCTCCTTTTGACTAGTTACATCTCCAAAGACCCTCTTTCCAAATGCAGTCACATTCTGAGGTTCTGGGTGGACCCTGTTCCACCCGGTCACTGCCTAATGTGAAAACACCCATCTTTGCACAGACGGTGTCTCAGACAGCTCAGCCAAGGCCACATGTGCACATGCTGGCAAATACACCTGGGTGTGCTGCGGCACTGTTATCCTTTTTTAGGCTTTGAGTTGCTTCTCCTGTAGTGAGGAATTGGCTTCAGCTCCATGCTTTGAGCCAGTTCTTTACAGTGGTAGTTCTCCCCCCCCACAATGCCCAGGACACCCTCCACCCCCGCCACGGTTGAGAAACCTGCTCCAGACCATCCACATCTCCAACAGAGCCAGACAACCTCCTATTCCCCATTTATCCTGTAATTCACATTCCCCAGGAAAAGCAGAAGCTGTAGAGGAGACACATCACTTTCCCTCAGTACTATTTGAAAATCAGAGGGAAAAAGGATTTGGGCAATGTGCAGTGTCTCCGTTAGGAATCTTTTTTTTAACC